CAGCTGTGCCCACGCTCCTGCGGCCGGCAGCCCGCGCTCATGTGCGATTCAGAAACGCCGTGTCACCAGCAAAGCCTTCTCTTTCTCTTTCTGTAAAGGTAATCTTAGTTACGACCTGTATTTTATGTTAACAGTAACAAAAATACTGCGTGCTGCAGGTATTTAGCAAACATAGCACCTCATGATTAACTTTCCTGATGCGATTAATGCCTTTATTAAAAGCAAAAATACCATTTTATTCAAATTGCCAGATATTGACTTAATCAAGAAGTGTTATGCCTTGTTATAAAAGGGGACCTCTGGAATACTGCATAATGGAGAGATTGCTTCTATTTTGAGATATCAGTTTACTTGCTCTAAACACTTTTTTTTCCCCTATACTGATACTCAGTAGTGCTTAATAATATATAATAAACAGCCACATAGTTCCTTGTCTGCAGGTAAGTAAGTCTGTATATGAAGCGTGTTTGATTCAGTTTCAGAAATCTGAATGCCAGGAATGTGTTCATGGAGGAACTCAGTCCAATGTCCCTGGTTAAGAAAAATTTGTTAGAGCATTCACGTGTTTTAGGTAGCATGCAGGACTTGTACAGAGGATATGTGTGGGGGTGTATGTGTTAGATTCATGTACTTTACACGACAGTTTTACATTAAGTGAGTTAATAAATTATGTTTCTGTCTTCTTTTTAGCTATGTACAGCTAATAAGATGAATCTTAAATGTTAACAGATGTTCTGCTATGCCTTATTTGAAACTTTGTCTTTTTCTTGGCAAAGGACCAGCAGTTTGCCTGATGGTTGCCTTTTGGTCAGCCTAGTCATGGCCTTTTAATGAAATTTCTGAAGTACTTATTTATGATGGAAGTGTATATATTTCTGTTAGTGTCAATAATATTTGAGAGGAAATACAAACAGAAAGATTGGGGGGGGTTATGTAACTGTTAACTTGCTGGTGATACTGTGTTTTATATGAAATAGTCCAGTCTGCTCCATTTTAAACAACTTGTGTATCTTGAATACATGTGGTGCCTCCTAGAGGAGCCAGGCATCTGCTCTTCGCTAAATAATCCTACCTACAAAGTCTCGTGCTGGATCCTATATCCTGAGATATAGGTACTGCCAAGGACTGCGTAGATGATGATTGGTTTGCTATTACTAAGTGATAGACTCAGCACTAGGGAAAGTCCAAGCTAATAGATTATGAGTAATTTCTACAACTGCAATCCTGAGACTTCAGTTTGTTGGGAGTTTTGTAAAGATTAGCTCACTTCAAGGCACTCTCCATTAGTTCATTCCATTTTTATGCTAAAAAAGATATCTTGTAAAATAAAGTGCTTCCAAAACTTTCAGGTCACAAACTGCTCAGAGCTCCGTACAGTGAACAATGTGAGGCATTCTAAATGAATGCTGTGTTCTGGTCTGACTAGGACCAAAACAATTGGCCTAATGGTTGCCATCTCAGATGTTTCAGTTCCAGATAAATATATTTTCTGTATCTTTCTGTCTGCATTGATGGCCTTTCCCTGTGCTTTGGCTGGAGAGAGAAAACTGTTGAAGCTTTTTTTTTTTAGGTGATTCACAGATTAACTAGTTTTCTGTGTCTAAATGGCTGTTTGAATTTCTCTTGTGAGCCTTATGACATTGGTGATATGAAATTAGAAGCACAGCAGTAATGTTGGCTGCAGAACAACCATTACATGGGTCTTCACATACTTTTGCAAATTGTTCCTCTTAAACCGTAATGAAATTCAATCTAAAGGATTTCTGTATGAGTAGCCTGTCGCCAGTCTGTCTAGATTTTTCAGAAATTTCCTAGGCACGAGTTTGTTTCTTGTCCATAATGTGTGTTCTTTGAAGGTATTAGTTATAACTCCTTTGAAGGTATTAGTTATACCTCTTAGAGCTGAAAGTAGTCAGTTTTAAGTTTAATAGTATTCAGTTTAGTTGAGATACCTAGTCAGGATTATGCCTCACTGGTGGGCAGATGTTTGCCACCTACTAGCAGAACTGCTTTATAGATCAACACTTCAACTGCAGAATGTTTCTTAACCAGTGCTGAGTATTTATGGTAATGGCTGTCTTTAGGGAAAGTGGCTAGGTTGTGTGTGTAAAAGGGAGTAACTGTGTTTACATTGCAGTCCAGAGGTAAATTGCAGGAAAAGCTCCCAATGGTTTAACATGAGATATTCAGTATTTACTCCCTGCTTCCAGAGAGTGAATTTTTAAACAGTTACTTTGAAACTGATACGTTTAGCAACTGGCTTTACTGTATGTTGTCAAAAACCTATTTAGAAAGAATTGTTACATATATTATGAGTTCTGTTTAAGATCACAGGCATTTTGTTCTTGATTAAGAATTTATTTTGTTACATTCTGTTCACTCTTAAACGCTAGAAGGGAATAGTGTGGAGGATTTTTGCTGTACCATCTACTCTGATAGTGATGACTTGATTTGTCTGGCTTTTTAAAAATAATGTTTATAGATAGATGTCTGTTTTTTCTTAGTCTGTAAAAATTCTGTACATTCTACACTGGTATAGAAAAATGCTGAAACATGATCCTGTTTTAAAATAGTGGATGTTTTCTTCCAATTGTCCTTAGGTCTCATTAGGCGGTGTTGATCTTACTGTGCGGGTCCTCACAACAGGTTACTGGCCTACTCAGTCAGCCACACCAAAGTGCAACATCCCTCCAGCTCCCAGACATGCTTTTGAGATATTTAGAAGGTATGTATTAAAACAGATTTTTAGGTAGAGGTTTCAAGAAGAAACTTTCTCAAATTACAGATATATTTTACTATAAGGGTTAAAGACATGCTAGCATACTGCTTTTCTTCAGTTCATGCGAAAATCAGAGAATGCAATAGTCACGTTATGAGGCTTGTGTTTTTGGAAGCTTTTAATTAGAATTCTAACGAGAATTAGTATTTTGAAAAAGCAGAAGTTAGAAATTTCTTTGTGTCTTTAATGGCTGTGAAAATATGTAGCTGCTTAAAGCAGTTACAAAATGTAAGCTATGTATTGTTTTTAATTCAATTATATTACAGATTTTATTTAGCCAAACATAGTGGGCGACAGCTGACACTCCAGCATCATATGGGTTCTGCAGATCTCAATGCCACTTTCTATGGGCCTGTTAAAAAGGTAAAGTATCAAGATTATGAAAATATTGTATCTTTTAAAAAAAGTAAGAAAATACACATTTGAAAGGACTTCACAGTTGTGTAAAATAAAAGCTTACTCACTGATAATATAAGAATAAGAAAAAAGATGCCTTCCATTTGCTTTATAGTCTGATTCTTCCTTTGTAGTAGTTTTTGTTTTGACATTTTTCCTCCTCTAAATCGGATTTCAGTGCACCACTCAGCATCATCTCTTTGTTGCTTTGTAGAAAAGTAGTAATTTTGATCTTGAAGGGACCTCAATGATTTGAGTGTTTGGAGGGGTTTTTTTACTGTGAATTAGTCAAAAGTTAAATGAAACTTGTTTCACTTCAGAGTGATTTTTGTTAATGTGAAAAAGTGTTGTTAAGCCATGTTTAGCCTGCTTTTCATGTTCAGAGTGCTAGCAATGTAGACAACATTTTTTTTTCCAACTTGAGAATCTTAGTAGAGTTTATAGAAGTATAATGTTTAATGTTTATGAATACAGGAAATTAATTTGCTGGTGATTTAGACCAGTTCTAAAATGTTAAGCTAGAGGTAGTAATGGTATAGTGCTTGGGAATGTAGAAGGCGATGCAAAATGAAAACAAATTTTTATTACTCAAAGTATTAATAATGTGCATTTGTGAGGATGTTAAAATTGTATCACTGTAGGATAAATATTTTGATAATTTTAAAGATAAAAGGAGAAAAACCGGAGGATGGGCAAGTAGTGGAACAAGGGCCAGAGAGGTGGTGGAGTCTCCATCTTTGGAGATGCTCAGGACTTGACTGGACACAACCCTGAGTATCCTGCTCTGGGTGGCCGGGCTTTGAGTGGTGGCTGGGCCGTAGGACCTACAGAGATGCCTCCAACCTTGATCACCCTAAGACAACTACTGGAGAGACATTCTGTTTATGCCACCAGGCATATGCTATTCTATCACTTGGGTAGACTGATGTCCTAGACAATTATTTCATCATACAACTTTCATCTTACCGAGGTAAAATATTGTGCAGTGGAGAATAATCTAATAGTAGTTTTGTAATTTTAAAATAGGAAGATGGCTCAGAGGTTGGCGTAGGAGGTGCCCAAGTAACTGGCTCAAATACACGGAAGCACATATTGCAAGTCTCCACTTTCCAGATGACGATATTAATGCTCTTTAACAACAGAGAAAAATATACATTTGAGGTAAGTGTTGCGGTTTTCTCACCTGATTTTAAATAACTGGTTTAGGCACTTTCTTGTCCTCTTGAATAGACCTTTGAAGATCAGGTGCCTCTGATTCTATTTGAGTGTAGATTGGGCCAATAAATACAGGAAACAGATCATTAGCAGTGCACCTGGGAAGCAATCCTAGGGGAGGAGATTATTTGGGAACAGAAGTTTTCAGAAATGTTGAAGATAGTCATGAGTGTGGTTATTCCTAGGCCATAGACCTATAGAAAAGCTGAAGTTGGAATGCAGCAGGTGGCTCCATTTGCTCATTTTATCTTTGAGGAACTGTGTCTAGAGGCCACAGGGTGGAGGAGGGTTTGTATCCTGGTTTCTTAAACGCTGAAGTGCTTAAATTGGCAAGCTGGATTGAGCTGTAGTATGAATCAAAGAATGTTCATCCCTTGTCTGAGCTGGTGAGCCAGAAAGGACAATGAAGAAGGTCCAGATAGATTCTTAACAAGGAGACTAGAGGGGTGTTGCTGGGAAAGGTTGAAGTGGTCAGCTGATAGACAATGATGAAGAAGCCTTTGGGAGTGGAGGAGGATCCTGTGCTACGAGGTTTGAGCATTGTATTGTTAATGTAAATTAATAGTTTTGTTGTAGATGTTAATCTTCTGTTTGAGAGAGCATTGGCAGCCTGGAAAAGCAGCATGGATGCAGTTTGCAACAGTGGATTTCCAGGCTTTCTCATCTACTTTTGACTGTGCCATGCATAGTAATCATTTGTCTTTTTGTTTGGATTTTGTTTTCGGCTTATTTGACACACTTCTACTCTATTAATAAAGAATGTTGCTTTGAAATGGTCTCGGTTGGGATTAAGGCAGGCAGGGTTTGATAAGAGGCTCTTAATAAACTACTCATAGGTCAAAAAAAGATTATTTTAGAACACAGAAAGTCCTGTGCGTTGTGAAATCTCTTGCAGGAACATTACAGCTTTGAGTACTTTCTCTGCAGAATACTTGAGGAGGGGGGAGAGGGGGATATAACAGCTCATTTTTTCTTGAAGTTGGTGTTGAAATTGGGTTGGTGGCTACTTTATTTCACGAAATTGTAGGCTTTATGAGTAGGAGAACCTCACCCACATACGAATAAATAATAATTGGTAGAGCAGTGAAAAATACAATTTTTAATACTTGCTTTGTAGTTTATTTTACTAAGACCAGATGATAGACAAATATGTCTGTGTGCTTTTAGGTTGTGTATGTTTTGTTTATTTCTGGTTTGGGAGTTCTTAAACTCTTACTTTGTGTCCCACTGTAACTAAAACACTGAGAAGGCATATTTGTTTTGTTTGGTTTCTTTGGTGAAGTGTGTGGGAGTTGTCTTTAATTCCAGCCAGGAAAGCTTATGAAAACTTAAAAGTAGAATGAAGTTTATCTTTGTTCATTGATTATTGAATACCATGATTAATTGCTGAGTGCTGTGCAACTGTTATTTCTCTTGTCATGACAAATTAGTGCTTTTACCACAGCATAACATGAGAGATGACTTGTGGTGTGTGCTTGTGTAAGCATAAAACTGTCTGATATACAAATGTTTTTGCAGATTCACAGCTGAACGGATCAATTTGAAGTTGCCTTCACAGTTGAACAGACTTTGCTGTTTTGTTTTGCATTCAGTCTGAGTCTTAATTGCAAAGTTGACAAGATCCTCACAATAATCCTAATAGCCATTAAGTCACGTAATTGAGGGAAAAATGGGATAATGATGACGCCAAATTTATGCATAAGATGTTAGAGAAACTTAAAGGATTGTTGCATAGTTGCAATTCCTTCACAAAAATGTATGAATTTATTATATTCCTATACAGCAACATTTTATTTTTATATGCAAAAGAACTTGTGGCCAGACAGGTTTAAGTTAATGCTACATGAATCTAAGAGGAAGAAGGATTGTCACGCATGCCTTCAAGAATGCTAATTTTTTCGAAGAATTCCATTTCTTCTAATCAAGTCTCATCTAATACTCAACATATTTTTCTGCTAGTTTACAGTACTTCTTAGTATTTTAAAAGGTGAAATACACACTTTTTTTTTTTAATGATGACATAAAAAATAAGGGGAAGACTTTTGATTCTTTCCTTAGGTTTAACAAACAAAAAATACAAATGTGACTGTAGTAGAAGTAATGTTGTTGAATAATTCCACAAAAGTGAGAGATTAGAACCTAAAACTGGCTTATCTGTTTTCTCTTTTGCTGATCTCAGCTTTGGAAGATATACAAGTTGAAGTCTGTAAATAAAAATAAATTTTATTTTTATTTTGTCAACATAATTCCCTCTAATAAACGTTTTTCTTGTGTAGAACTGGACAAAGGCAGTTCCATGCCTAGAATAATCTCTTTTGTAGCCTCCAAATAGAGCTCACCTGCTAATATTTTTTAAACTAAGATTGTGTAATTGGCACTGCTGTTGTGCACAACTCTAGTGTGGCCTTTAAAATAAGGCATTTTTGGAAATGGGGGGAAAAAAGTACACTTTTTTCACTATTACATCAAATGTCTATATAAAAATATGTTTAGAAAAACGATATGCTACAGACTGAAGGAAAAAGAGCACAGGAACATCTGTTATCCCCATTTACATTCATAGCTACACTTTTTTTATCCAACTTGAAGTTTTTGCCTTCTTCTGAGACAGCATATTGCAGTGCAATTCTTTCTGTGGTTCTTATTTTAATGCTAGCTTATAAATTCTGAAACCCAAATGGTTCACATACGTTAGTGGCTGATTTGGAATGCTACAGAGTGAAGTAAAATCAACACAGAAATACATAGTGGTTAGTGTAAGGATGTTTAGCATCAACAAAACTCAAATTCCATTTTAGCTCTTTGCTTCACTTTCATCAAAAGCAGAGAATATATTTCCTTGTAGAAGTGATTTAGTTTTGAAAGGATTAGATTTTAGACGTTGATCAAAAATCAAAGTTTGGAAGCCTGCATGTCACAGGCATTATATCATTAATAAGCTGGATTTGGTTTGTAGCCTAAAGGCTCTACATTTACCTGAGTTCTAAAATCTAAGTGTCACCTTCCTTTGGTTTGTTAAATTTATGCTGATCAGTCCATTTCAGTAAGACATTTTGTTTGTGACCATGTAAAGCATTATAACATTTGGGTTTGGTGGGTTTTTTTTAAAAACTACTTTGTGCTGAATCTGGAAAAAATGCGTGAAGGTTATAATTGTGTTTTAAATAAAGCAACAAATGAAGAAATAGTAACTTTCTGTGAGCTGCTTGGAAAGAGGCATTTTGATACTAGCAAATAGTTAAAATATGTGGTTGCATGTCACTTATTTCAAATACTATGAATATTTATGATTGCATTATGCTAAGAATCCTCTTAAGTTTAAGACTGCTTTATTATTTCCTAATCATCCATAAACAGTAGTTAACAAAAAATCTGAATTTTTTAAATTTTAGACTTATTATTAATTTTTTATTTACCTCATTCAAATGAATTTGAACTCAAGTCAAAAACATAATTTCACATAAAGTCAACATTGTACATGTAATGTTGGGTGCACTGTAATTAATGACAGAGTCCGAGTAGAGGCCAGTACATCCAAATTATCTTATTACATGTTGTCAGTGGCGGATGGCCACAGAAGAGTGACATTTTTTTCTGGATTGATTTTTTAAAAAATTGAGTATGCTCAAGAAATAACATAACTTAGTAGAACTTAGTTGTACTCTGAAATTTGATTTTTTTTCTGGTCACTGTTTTAAAGAACTTATAACAAGTTCTTTATAGGTCTTTACGGATCTTAGCATTTTGATCCCTGGGAGTTGTTACTGCTGCTTTTAGCCTGACGGTCATCAGTTTGACTTGTGTGCCATGAGCCTTAGGAATTTATGGCGACAGTGGAAGAGCTTAATACTGCTCTTGGAACTGAAGGTCAGGAAGCTGGGAAAGTGACAACTCTTGTGGACAGCTAGATGTCTGTGAGGTTTATTTTTTCTATTTGGTACTTTAGCTGCTAGAGGTCCCTCAAGATTCTGAATGGGAATGTGAAATCAGAGATGTCTGCAGTTTCCTCAAACTAGAAGAAGGAAGAAAATAGAGATAAGGCTAAAATGAACTTCTAATGAATGGGAGCTCAGTAAACAAGTTAGGTTTGAGGAGGCAGTAGTAGTTGGCCTGCTCCTAGAGCATGTTAAGACACCATTCTGCATCCAGTATAATTTGCTTGCTAAGTCATGATCACTGATGACTTACCTAACAGCTCTAAACTGAACTCTTTAAGAATACTGACAGAGGTGCAACAAGTTATGTACATGTTCTTATAAGCATTCTTCTTCAAAGTTCATTCATTTGCTGCACTATGTGTTTGGGTTTTTTTTGTATTTCACCTGGAGAAGTCCTGGCCAAGGGCATCTGGGCTGTAAATAAATTGTTTCAGGTTATTCAGAAAGGAGGTGTAATTAATCTAGAGTATTTCTATGTTATGGTGATACTAGACCTTGTTTGCTTCCATTTGTAAAGATCTTATTTTCAACAGTATTGCTGAATGCAATAGCATTTACGCAGTTCTTAGTCAGGAACATCATGGATGTTTTCCATCACTGAATTACTTAGAAGATTTGATTTCACTCTCTTCAGCAAATGTTGGAGACAGTGGAAAAAAAATCCTTTCAGCATTCTCAAAAATTACAGTGAAATGAATCAGCTGGTTATTCATTCTTATATTTTCAGCTCATGGTAACTCTTTACTTGACAGAATTCACTGTCTGTGTATTGACCCAGGTAATTTTGTATATACATATTGAGATTTTGCTACTGAACGAATTCTAACCTTTCAGGCCTCACAGCTGTCCTAATACTAGTATTTCGCATACTTGAAGGTGAACATTTTAAGCAATTGGTGCTCTTTGCAAAGCATTATACATACTTCTGCCATAGCCATAAACTAATTAAGATATTTTTCATTAGGAAATTCAACAAGAAACTGATATCCCTGAAAGAGAACTGGTTAGAGCCCTACAGTCCCTTGCATGCGGCAAACCAACACAACGTGTTCTCACAAAAGAGCCTAAATCAAAAGAAATAGAAAATGGTCATATATTTACAGTGAATGATCAGTTCACATCTAAACTACACAGAGTCAAGATTCAGACGGGTAAGTGACCTTTATATTCTACTGTCTTGCAATCCCAAAACTGCCTTAAAATGTCAAATTATCTTTTGCAGGATTGATGTCCATACAAGTAAAAGGAAGAGAGTAATACAATATTTTGTGCATGATTGGTTGCATCAAAATGAAAATACAAATACTGAGAGAAGTGTGGAAGTCATAGTTAAGCATTTTACTTTACAAAATTTTTAATCATCTCTGTAAAGGAAATGTTGAAAGAGAAATAAAATTCAAATTAAGTAGTAAAATTAAAAATGCGCTACTGATTCATTCAGAAATAGGAAAATTGCTTCATAAATTGCTGTACTGCTGTGAAATTGAGTGATGTTTTTAAGCTCATGCTACAACAGCCGTTCCCAAGAGCCAGGTAGCTATGATGGTTTTGGGCAATGATTTCGGCTTAACAAGTTAAGAGAAGCTGATTGGTACAATACCACTTCATTGGCTCATAGAAGTGGTGGTTTGTGTTATGCATAAGTAATAGTGATAACTTTTGTCTAGAAAACTCTGGAATTAATTTCTGAGTTGTAGCATTGCTGTGGATACACTTCATGGAGTGTTTTGGAAAATTAGTTCTTAGTTCTAGTACATCTAAAAATATTTTCTGACTTTGCAGATCTTAGCACATAAAATATACGGCATCATTGGCAGCGTTGGAAGTGCAACATTGGTAATTCACATGCTGTTTGTTGCACGTAATATAACTTGTGGGGCTTCTGTGCAGCACGCTGTGTCCAGGGATGTAAGCCTGTAAAAGCCAGCAGTGCCTACGTACATTACATTGCGTCTAATAGCTAGGCTGTCTTCATGCGCGTGCAGATTGCCGTGGTGTCAACACATTTGCCACGTCTGGAGAATTTTTCTGGTGAGCAGGAGCGCAGCAGCCAGATGAGGTTGTTCAGAACCCTCTGGTCAGGGCCCAGGGCACTTCCCTGGCATAGTTGAAGTAATTCTGTGACAACTGTTCCAGCTTTAGTGGAATTCTGCTTTTGCATTTCCACCCCACAAACGTCTGTGAATGGGGAATATGATTTGGAGTTCAAGAAGGTTTTAGAGCAAATTTAATACTTGTGGGTTTACGTTTCTGTCTTACACAGAAGACTTCTTGTGTCTGTCTCTTCAATAAACACTTGGAGCTTTTGAGCGAAGAAAGGTAGAGGGGAAAGTGGTATAGAGGTGTGGGAGGAGGGCTTGGCTATAATGATGCTTGGGTGAAAGGACAAGAAAAGCTAGACATAAGGGCAGAAATCAAGCATAAATAGGAGAACAGAATACAAAAAATATAAATGAGTTGGAGAGGATAAAGTTAGACTATTTCTCCTGACTGATGAACTTTTAAAGTATTGAACTAGTTTGTGAAGTAAATTTTCAATCCTTTTTTCTATTTTAATTAATAGATTATTTGATGTATTAGAGACAAATATTGAATGGGAGCGTGGGGGTTGGTGGTGCCTGTAAGCAGGTTTGAGTACTGTTCAAATTTTATCATAGCAGTAATTAAATAACAGATTGTTACCTTGTCAGTTGCTATCAAAATATGCCAGAAAGTGTTAATATGTTCTTGTGGCTCCTTTTCATAAAAAAAATCAAGTTTGAGAATGTCAAAACTCAGGAAAATATAACTTGATGTCTAGATGAAATAAATAGTGAAACTAACACTTACACAATTAAATTAATTTTAATTTTGCTAACGTACTTTACATTCTCTTTCTTTAAGTTGCTGCCAAACAAGGAGAATCTGATCCAGAAAGGAAAGAAACAAGGCAGAAAGTAGATGATGACAGAAAACATGAGATAGAAGCTGCTATAGTTCGGATAATGAAATCTAGGAAGAAGATGCAACACAACGTGCTAGTAGCAGAGGTATACTTGTACACAGTTTTGATATGGGCTTGGGAATTCTTTTTGCTTTTCCTATTAATTCATGAAAGTTACACAGCTCTCACTAACATGATTCTGAAAGGCTTTTGAGAGATGCTGTATTTAATCCATCCTGGTTTTTTCCTCCCTGTGTATCTGAAGCCATCTAAATCCTTAGCCTTCAGTCCAGGATGTACTCATGGGTATATCTAATTTTCCTTCCTTCTTTTAGTGCTATTATGATGTTATCAAATTCCTGGAAATAACAGTTGGCAACAAAAACCACTGTACTTAACATTAATTATTTTCTGCTTTGATCTTGTTACTGACTGTTGGGTCCGGGTTTGAGAGATTTGAGCTCTTAGCAGAGAGAGAAAGAGTTCTGCTGCTCTTAACTCCTAAGGTCTGACAGCTTCAGGAATAGTACGCATTTTCTACTCTTGAACTCCCTTAGGGCTGTGAAATTGAGAGGATTATCAGGTTGCCTCCGTTAGAGGATCAGCACTTTGAATCATACCCAAAAATGAGCAAGCAACTGGTGGGGGGGAAAAACTATCAGAAGTTTGCAGACTGCTTCTTATGCTTCATGGTTGTAGCCAGCCCTGTCTAAATGTATTTTTTCTGATTATTTTGGTCAGTTAATGATACTTAATGATCTTACTTGCCCTGTGGTTTTATATTGTTGGTTTTGATCTTATGTTTTAGGTAACTCAGCAGCTGAAGGCTCGCTTCTTACCAAGTCCAGTTGTTATTAAAAAACGTATTGAAGGACTTATTGAGAGAGAATATTTGGCACGAACACCTGAGGATCGCAAAGTATACACTTACGTAGCATAAAATGCGTTCAGAAAATTTGATTTATTCTTGGACTATACTCTTCGCATGAACTGGGAAGTTCTTTTAAATCATTAATATTAAGACGACCATCTCTTCTATTAAATTACAATACATGTTCTAGACCATTCAGATCAAGCCTTTTACTCCTTTTGAGAGTTTTCAACATCAATTGATTGAGCTTCAGGCTTCTCAACGTTATCCCTGTAGAGATCATCCTTACAATTCTTCGGGAAAATGTGAATGTGCCGCGTTTGTTTTCAATACTGTATGAAAACAGAAAAATAAAAACAAATTTAGAAAATACAGCTCATTTAAAAAAATAAAATTGTTGGAATTTCATTTCCCCAGATCTTCAGTGTTGATGTAAATGTGTTTCTGTAGTGTTGCTTAGCAGTTCGCGCATTGTATAAGTTGGGTTTAAAAGAAACCACAACTGGTAAGGCAGAATTCCCAGTTACATAGCTCTGCTTCAAATGTTTCTTTAACTAGCCATGTTTAATTTACGTATTTGGTAATTTTTTGAAGACCCAAGAAGACAACTTGAGCATGTTTCACTCTTCCAGCTGCACTCACTGTTCCAACAACATGAATCAGGAACTTCTGGGGGCTCAGAGAAGACCGTAATAATTTTGGCTTTCCCTTCTGTAATTTGAGTTCTTCTAAATTAAACTCTATATTGATTAGGTTTGTTTTGGTTTCTTTATAGGAAAAAGGAAAAGATTTTAGTGTGTATAAACTGTATAATAATTTTTGCTGTTGTACTCACTGCTGATGGTGGATTGTACAGGGCGATGTTTTTATTTCACTAAATGTAGACAAAATAAATTTAAAATAAATTGATTTAGTGTACACAAACAACTAATTCAAGTGTGTTAGAGTACAGGGTTGACAATCTTTTGGAACTACGTGCTGTCCCCTGGGGAAACGTACTGGGATTATATTTTGTTAGTAAACATTATAGATTGATATGTAGCCCCAGGGCTTCCCATCATAAGTGCATATTACAGGAGATTAAAGTGAAGCCAGCATGCACTATTTGTTTTTTAAAATGCATTTTAAACATGCAATAAAAAATTGTTACTGTAATGAAATTTTTAGGTCTTACCCTGGAACTTTTTTCTTCTTGTCAGCATGCTGCAAAAATAGATTAAAAATTGCAGTTTAGTGGCATCGTTATTCTCATATTTAGAAATTGTTTGCAGTGTGCATTGTAGTGCAGAGTTTTTATTAAACAGTATTTCTGACATTCCAGTGCCCATATTACATGGTTTCTCTGCCACAGCTATCTTTCTTTTAATCAAAACAATTTTTTTTTCCTTGGTTCACATTGCTTTCATCCACAGGTATTGAAAAATATTCTTGGGATGGGCTTCCCAATAGGTAGAGCTGGAGTTGAAACAAAAAGAAAATCTTGGTTGTGGAGCATTGGGATACTGCCAGAGCTTTTCTTGATTAGCTGTGTTAAACAATTATCTGGTGGCATAATGTAGCAATGTGATTGGAGAGTATTTTTCATAATGTGTCCCCAGTTTCACCCCTCTCCAGCCTGTTAGGATACAAATCCTAGCTATTGTTCCAAGTAGGATGTTTCCGCTGAAGAGAGGGACTGGAATTGGGGTGGGCTTTTTAAGCTTAAGTTTACTGCACACCCCCAACACACTCACACACAAGATTAGCTTTTCAGTCATCAGAGGGGTGGTGGGTGAGGGACTTTCCTATCATTGTTACCAAGAATTTAGCCCAAAAGAAACCAGCTAGGCCATCAGCCATTCTAAAAATGTGTTTGCTGACCGCTGTTAAAACACCAGCGTGTCTCTGCACGGTACATGCACAACTTCAGTAGGAGTGTAATCGCTATTTAGCCACAGAGCAATACTAAGCACAGCTTGGATGGGAGTCTGGGTTTTGGACCGTGTCTTAAGTCAGTCATCTTCCACAAAATGTAACTCGCTCTTCCATGTGTCAGTATGAAGGTTTTCCTTTGTGCAGATGATCATCTTTAATAGCATGAATGTTGTGATAACTGCATGTTAATGCTTTCCCATGTGCTTTTCAGGGAGAAATGGGTTCATGTCCTTTTTCGCTGTGAAGCTTCTAGAGATATTAACGTTGCTGTCTGTGACAGGAGGGCTTTGTCCTTAGCCTTGCGATTGTACTTCTGCTGTGCATCCGCCAAAACTTTCTACCTCTGGTGGCTTTGGGAAGTGCTCAGCCTGAATGTTACGTGAATGACGGTATAATGACATGTTGAAAGGTGGTTTTTTTACAACCTCTATGGGCAAGAGTGTTTGCTGAATGAATAACAGGTGGCGATGGCTATGTTCAGTAACAAATACTTGGAGTATAGTTTAAATTTAATCAAATTTTGAAGACAATAATTATTCAGGAAGGGACTTTTGCTGAAGTCACCTTTTGGAAATGTGCCCTTTACCTCTGAACAATGAGATCGTGATACTGAGGATTTAAAGATGGAGAATGTTAAAACTCTGGTCAGAGAGACAAGACGTCACTAGGACTTTGCTTAAGGTGAGTTTGATGCTCATGCCTTTATGCTGGTCATGCACATTAGCGAGATTTCTTTTACAGTCCATAATAGAATTCTGCTATGCCATATCTAATTTCATTTTTGCTTCCTTTCTTAATTTCCATTTAAAACGTCTTTGTAATTTTGTTAAAATTTCATTGGCAGAATTGTAGTTGCATGTGTGAGTGTAGTTATTAGTAAGTTTGGTTTCTTTGCATTAATGTGCAGTCAAATGCAGTAACATAATAAACATGGAGTTTAATTCTTTAGAAGCTTTAAAATTAGGTTTTGAGTTTTATAGCTATTTGAAGATACATAGGCATGTACTTTCCTTGTAGACAACTTTATTTTAAAGGGTCGAGAGTAGCCTTCATTTGCCATCATAACAAATCAGATTTTCCTGTGAATCCCTGATTCAGTTCTTGCTCTTCAGTGTTAGCTACCTTTACAGCTTTGGTTTGCTCTTTTTGTCTCCTAGAATTAATACGTACAATTTCCTCATTTGCTACGGAACAAAGGAATGTTAAGCATGTCTGCAAAGCAGATTGACTCTCGGATGCGAAGTTACTCCTGAATGAAATGTCTCTCCTCAAACCCTTTCCTAAAGACGAACTTTGCCCCGTGGAGACCCCAAAGCTTCCCACGTTAACGCTGACTGTCCTCGTTACCTTTGCTCACTGAGAACTGGCAGCTGCCATCAGATTTGCTTTCCTGGGCCTGGAAAAATGGAAGCATTGCGCTAAATGTTCTGGATGACTGAAGTATTTTTATTCAGGTGTATTGTCATCAAATTGAACAGTACCTGATAGGTGGCATGCGTATATATATGTGTGTATGTATATGGTAATAGAGCCTGTCACGATGCATGTTTGGGGGATAAGCTTGCACAGAGATGAGTTCCCGTTTTGTCAAAAGTAGCAAAAACTGGAATGACTTGTGACCTCTAGTTGTATGTCCAAAACTGGCCAGAACCTTCATAGCTCAATCCAAAACTCCTTGAGTCTGCTTTGTTCCTCGCGGTGGTTAGGGGCGAGGTGGGCTCTGGTCATTCGCTCCCGGTTCCTCAGAGCCGCCGAGGGCTGGAGCGAGGGTTCGGCAGTCTGGAGCGGGGCGGGCAGTAGTGCGCAGAGCCGGTAAGAGGCATCGTCTGGTTTGTGCCAGTACCAAAGCCCAGTTCCCGTTAATACTCATTTTGATACCTCGGACATTAAATGAAATAACCAGTGTGCTCAGTCTGAGCCATGAGTTTAATGGCTGCTCTGTCTCTGGAGCGTGTCGCGTGAATAGTTTGTCGAATGTAGAACTTCATGTACAGCCAGCGGGAAGCTGGGTAAAAGATCAGGAGAATAACTTCCCTAACTTTCTGTCCTTCAGTGCGCGGGGAAGTGTTTCACAGAGGGTGTCCACAAATGGGATTGGATATTCTGAAGCTGTCAGCTGGCTTTATCCACGTTTTAACCCTGTCTGGCATGGCAGGAGTGAATGTTAACGTAAACACGTGAAGATGCTGGTTTAAAGGAAGATGGTGGCACACCGTTACTTGTCCGACAACCAGCTGTGACAAACAGGCAGTGCAGACCCCCCCAGGGCAGCCTGCCTTGCATTCGGGGGGCACGGTGGTCTCCTTCAGAGCGGCACCTCTCCCAGATACGCCGCGGTTCATGCGGCTGGTGGAACCTCGCTGAGGTGGCCGGACCCCTCTGCAGGCAGGTGCTGCTGTGCTGGCGTTGGTACCTGCCGGGGTTATAAACCAGCTTCGCTCTCTGGGGTCTTGCTCTTCATTTCTCCTCCAAAGCTGGAACTCCGATGGGGAGTGAGTCCGTGGGAGTTAATGTGTTTAATATCGTGGAGATGAACATGAAGTTTAGGGATGGGAAAAGAACATTTGAACTTACAGCAGTGATGTTTTATTAATTATTCTTTCTTTTGCAGTTCAAAGCTTTAATTCTAGGTACAATGGACGCTGAGGAACCCTCCGATCTTAATCACTGCTACTATGTTCCTTCTCTTTGAACAACACGTCGCTGAGGTTCACTTCATTTGTACGCCTTATCCTTCAAATGCTGGCAAAGCATTGCCGTGTGATCTGTCAGAAGCTGAAGCTCAGGCGCAGGCGGTGCAGCGTACTGTGCGCGCTGCGGAGAGGAGGGTGTTTGCAGAGAGGGGCTGTTCCGCTGTCATCGCAGCGGGTCAGCTGTCCTGCAGGGAGGAAGGCGCATCTCTGGGGAGAGCTTCCTCTGCACGGAAGCAGTAAATAAGCTCTCCTTTTCCCTCTCCTCCTCTTCTTTTCCTTGCCTAAAGCTCTGTTAAACGCTCACATCTTCAACAAGCTGCTCTTAGTTTCTGACTTGAAACATTAAGAATGTGTTTTGCGATGGCACGGATGGGGCAGGAGAAGCACCTCCTCTTCCCGTTTGGCGTGACACGTTCGAGGATGAGGCAAACGAGGAGTGAGAGTCACACACGCAATGTCAGGTGATGAAACAAAATCGTGTTCAGTCTGGAAATTGAGTCTGAAAATGGTGAGTTTTCAATCTAGTCATGGCACGCGAGCCATTGCAAGTTACAATGCCAGATTTTATTTCTTGAATGTTTCTTGCAAGCTGAAAGAGAGATTTCTAAAGGCCACAGAAAGTGTTGGGATTATTTGGCAGTGACAAATATATTCGTGATGCTTATTATTTATTATCTACTTACTTATTTTCCCTTCTGTCCAGTGTAACCTTCTCTTAGATGAGTGTTACGGGGCTGGGGTATCATCTGACATACAGCGTGTACCGTGAGCCTTGTGCATCATCAACTTGGAGTGGGTTTTAAGGAAAT